GAACAAAGAACAGATGAGACAAATAGAAAACAAGTATCAAAATGATAAGACTCTGGGGCGCTGGGTAGCTCAGTTGGTTAAGTGTCTGCCTTCGGCTCAGGTCATGAACTCAGGGTGCTGGTATCAAGCCCTGCTCAGCAGGGAGTCTGCTTCTCCCTCTGCCCCTCCCTATACCCATGTTTTTTCTCTCTCTCAAAAAAAAAAAAAAAAAGGTGAGACTCAGACCTAAGCACATTAATCATATAAATGTGGGGTCTAAACACTCCAAGTGAAAGGTAGAGATTATCATAATAAATCAAAAAAGCAAGACCCAATTATACACTGCCTACAAGATATATAGTTCAAATATAAATATACAAATAGGTTAAAAGTAAAAGGATAGAAAAGACATACTCTGGTAACACTAGTCAAAAGAAAGCTGGATCAGCTATATTAATAACAAAGTAGATTTCAGAGCAAAGAATATTATTGAAAAAAAGTAATTTCATAAATGATAAAGGAGTCAATGAATCAAAATACACAATCCTGAACATACATGCAACTATTAAGAGTTTCACAATACATGAAGCAAAAACTGATAGAACTTTTTTTTTTAAGATTTATTTATTTATTCATTTGACAGACAGCACAAGCTGGGTGAGTGGCAGGCAGAGGCAGAGGGAGAAGCAAGCTCCCCGCTGAGCAGGGAGCCTGATGTGGGGCTCCATCCCAGGATCCTGGGATCATGACCTGAGCAGAAGGCAGATGCTTAACCAACTAAGCCACCCAGGCACCCCCTGATAGAACTTCTTGAAGAAATAGACAAATCCACAAATATAGCTGGAGATTTTGATAACCCACTCTCGATAATTGATAGAACAAGTAGGCAGAAAACCAGCAAGGATATAGGCTTGAACAACACTTGCAACCAACTTTACTGATTGATTGACATTTCTACAATGCTTCACCTTCCTTCACATTCCACCTTGCTTTCTTCAAATAACAGTAAAATACATATTCTTCTCAAGTGCCCATGAAACATTTACCAAGATAGACCATGTTCTAGGTCATAGAACAAGTCTTGGTAAATTTAAAAGGATTCAAGTCGTACAAAGCATATTCTTAGACTACACTGATATTAAAATAGAAACCAATAACAGCAAGATTTTTGGAAAACTCCCAAGTATTTAAAAATGAATACACTTTTAAATAGCCCATAGATAAAAAAAAACAAAAGGGAATTTAAAAGTATTTTGACCTGAATTAAAATGAAAACACAATATACCAGAAAACAAAACAAACCAGAAGTTTAGGATATTGTTAAAGCAATATTTGGGAGAAACATATAACACTAAATGCTTATATTAAAAAAAAAGGAAAAGGACGCCTAAGTGGCTCAGTCGGTTAAGTGTCTGCCTTCAGCTCAGGTCATGATCCCAGGGTCCTGGGATTGAG